GGACAAACGCACAGGAGGCAAGTCCTTCAAACACTGGGAGAGAGCATGTCCCCGAGCTGCTGGCAGGCGGCTGGAAGGTGCCTGGAGGTTGTTGAGAAGCATCTTGGGTTCCAAGTGCCCTTCTTTCTACTCATCCCTAGGCAACTGCTGTTTGTCAGTCTTGGGATCAGGATAAGGCTGGATTAAGCCCACTCCTCCAACCTTGTCCTGTTCTTCCTGTTCTTTCTTCTCGTCATCCCTTTCTGTATTTCCGCTATCCTTGTATGTGAGGGAGTGAAAAACTAACTTTTCCTCTTGTTTATCCAATAACTTGTTGCTAAATTGCTGGACCAAATTCTGCTGCGTATGGCACCTCTTCAATAAATATACTCCTGCTTTTGGCTCATGCTTTCTGTTAAGAAAATTGAGTAAACTTCTACCTTTGTGGCATGTAGAAACAGAGGTTTAGCTGTGGTAAGTTGCCATAATAGCTGTTGATTGATATTTCTGTCCTTGCTGGCTGGCCGTGACTCACCTCAAAGGCTTGCTCATATTCTCAGATTCTGCCATTTGAGAATATCTGGGCTGGCTAATAAAATAAATTGCTTGAACTGCTGCCTTCCTTTAGATGTACACATGAACAAGGACACATGCATAGCCACGGTAACGCAGAACAGGCATGGTACAGAAAGTGATAATGGTGGGTGCCTGACTACAGCACAGGAGGGATGTAAAAAACTTGGTTTTGAAAATGATCAAAATAAATGAGCATCCTGCCCAAATCAGCAACCTACAAGGGTGATACTTTGGTATTGTGTGTCCAGATATGTGTGTGCATAAGGAAGCTGTTTGGAAGGAGGTATGTTCCATTTCAGTTTTCCAGTTTGTCCCAGATGTGGTTGTGCTAGCAAACAGACGAGGGAGTGGGTAGCATGTCACTTCATGCCCAGTTACTGTGAGCGCAGAATGGGGCTGGTGGGTATCGGTCAAGCATTGTGGAGGAGCTCGTTAGGTCTGTTCCTTCCCAGGAGTGCTGTGTTGCAGCTCGAACAGATTATTTATTGGTAATGTGGGGATCTTTTGATGGATGCTTAGTACTGATGAGAGCTCGTGCTTGCAAAAATGAGTTCAGGGATGATCTGGCCCTACATACCTGCAAAAACATGACCATGTGACATTTAAGTGTCACATAACACTTCACAAACTTATTACAAGTCTGTTTTGTTGATTATATTATTTTTCTGTGTGAGTCACTAAGAAGTCATGGTTATTTTGTGTGGAAAAGTAGTTGCAGGGGAAGAGTTTTTATTTTCACATTTTAAAAAGCCTAACTTTAAGGTTCCACCACTTAACAAAGGTTAGTTTCTCATCCCTTCTAAATGCATTAGGGACCAAAATTAAACAAACTGAAATATTAAATTATTTACTTTATCACTGTTGTTAACTAGACCACAGAAATCATGAGTAGTACTAACAACTTTTGGACACAAGATTTGCCAGCTGATTTGTGGATGGTTCACAGCCTGGGGAGACATTTAGGGGTTTGCTCTGTTTGTTGCATATTTAACTTACTATTTGGCATCTCAGTGTTTCATAGGTAAACAAGAAGTACCTTGGGGAATTACATCTGCAAACTTCCAATAGCAGATAAATATGCTTTTTAAATTATTGCATGAAGAATGGATTAATAAATTGCATTATTATCATATTCTCTATGGCCATGACAGTATATTAATTCCATTTGCCTTAACTGAGGAGGACACTGTCAAATGCACACTGAAAAGAAAAGGATAAAGTGAACTACAGGGCAGGCTGAGATTTTATATATGCTGCTCTCCTGATGACATCATTAAGATGCTGTTGCTGTTGTATGCATTTAACAAGTGTAATGTTTCCATAAAGGGAATGGGGAGGCGGTTGGTTAAAACACTGTGTGGTTTGGGGATGTTCAAGGGTGAAAAGATCTTGGAATCATCCCCAGTGATTTCAGGCTGCGGAAGCTGGAATAGAAATAAATACATAAACTGGAGACAGCTAAAGAGTAATTCCAGAAATGATTGGCCAACTAAAGCCTTGCTAGGTCCATTGCTGAAGAAACCAGTAAGAGTAAAAAGTGAAGTAAACAGTAAAGTAAAAAGAAATCTGATCTGTAAGCGCATCAGGCAAAATGTTGATTAGCAGTACAGAGCTTATAGTCATATTTTGGATTGTACTAGTTACTCAGATAACCACAAGTTTAGTGGCAGAAGCAAATGCAGTTGGTTTTACTTTTGCTTTATATATGTATATATGCACACACTTAAAATATACATACAATTTATTGTAGGGTTCAGAAATTTATTTGATGTAGTCAGGCACTGGAAAACAAGTGACAAGTTGGAAATTAACAGAGTTACATCAGTGTTAATGTAACTAAGAAATCACCAAGTCAGACTGCCACAACTGCAGTGGCAGTTTCCCCTACTAGAAAAACTGTTAAATCATAAAGAGTGACGTGATGTTTCTATTGGCTGGATTTATTGCATAGTTTTCAGTTGTCCTGCTCAAATGTGGTTTTCTGTGTATTGAGTGTGGTGGTGGTGTGGATTTATTATTATGATAAAAGAGAATCTCTCTGAATTACCACGTCAGCCGTAGCATGTGGAGGAGCATCATCAGTTTATATGGGAAAAGCAACACGGCTGCAGCTCTGTCTGCACTGACACTGGCTGCAGGCCCAGAGGAGCCGTGGTTGTTTCGGTGCAAGTTGTGCTCTTCCAAGACCGTAACAGTCAGATGAGAAAAGTGCCTTATCTCTGGTAGCAAAAGGAGGGGAGCGCCCCAGCTGTGGCAGTCAGGTGAGCATAGACTGTACCCTCCTAAGAGCCACAGAAATTAAATTCAGGCAACTAATAAATCCGTTAGCTGCCTTTGTGGCCTGAAAGGTGAGGGATTGTAAAATGGTTTTGGGTCCAATAAGAATATTGCACTCTCCACTGCATGCATAATGAAGCAAATTCCAGCTGTGTTTAACTCCAGGGAAGTGTGGTGTTAGTTTAAAGGAAACTATAAATTTCCTTCCTCTCCATTTGTCATTTTTCCTGGACTGTGCATTTCCAGTTTAGAACTACATGAGAACTCAAAAAGGGCAACCTGATGTTGTACTGAGAAACTAAGAGGTACCAGATCTCTTTATTGAAGTTGCGAAGTCTAGAAACCAGCAAAAGAAAGAAGAGTAAAAGCATCACCCTTCATGCCGAGTAACGAAACTAAATTCCCCTCCTTCTGACTTGAAGGAGCTGTGCTGCCTGAAGAACGTGGAACTCGCACTGACATGAATAACCTGTACTGTCTGTCAGCCATAACAGATTTTCTGTAAACCTCACTCAAATGTAAATGAGTTGCATTATTTGTCTTCCTTTATAAAAAATACTGGTTGGTCAGTCATAACCAAGACTCCTTTTGAGGAATGGTACCTTAGATGCATTTGCTCGTTTTCTCATTAAGGCTGACTCCAAGACAATATGGTTAACTTCAGAAGGGTGGTACTTTCTCTCTTGGCACAAATGACCTTTTAGCCTGCTTCTTCCTGCTAAGTCTTCACAGATTCCCTCTGAAACTGTTCATCGATTGGAAACCTGTTCATTTGCAGGTTAAGTGCAAGCGTTCTTTGGTCCCCACGTCATATAATTTAGATATTCACAGCTGATCATGCTAGGGGTCACATGTGTTGCCAGGTGTGCAGCTGTCATTCAAAGAAGCTTTGACGTCAGTCCAGTAGGGAATCTGCGTGAAAACTCAGGTATTTGGAGGTGTTTGAAGAGTAAGTGAAACTCCGTTACCTTCCTGCTTTTACAGTCCATGACTAGTAACAGGTCTATGGAAGTTCTGCTGATGGAGGGGGGGTGTTGGGTGGAAGGCCACAATGACCCACTGCTTGCCCTGAGCACTGTATGGCTGCGGAGCTGGCAGAGAGTATCTGCGGTGTCAGGCCTCGCCATCTGCACACAGTAAGGGAGGGAGACTTGCTGGTCCCCGCCCTGTGTACGACAGAGCCGAGGAAGAGGATGTAGCCTCTAGCGCCTAGGGAGATCCAGGCCTACTATGTTTTAAGCTTAATGCTGAGGTCTTGACACCTTTGTTGGAGGCCTCATAACGGGCTATGATGGATAAAATGCATTGGAAGAACAGACAAACATTTTCAAAGATTATGTTCTGGTATTACCTAGCTTTAATGCATTTTTTTGGTCTTTTTACAATGCAACTCTGTTTCAAATTGTGATAAAAATTGAAATATGTGGGATTAGGGCTTCCTAGCTTTTTTCTTTTTTTTTTTTTTCAGTTCGGTGGTATATTGTACAATATTCCATATTGTGTTGGCCTTCGTGATTTATGCATAAGTTGGACAAAGATTGCTTTGTATATCATACAGTTTAGTAAAAAACTTAAGCACTCTGCTAAGAACTTTAATGTAGGTCGACCAGGGATATGTTCTGAACAATCTCGTTGCTTCCTTCACTAAGAACACAGTTTATTTTCGTCGTTTTCTCCTAACCTTACTTTGCAAGGTGGGAACGGTTTTATGTACTGACACATAACTGTGGTAACCATCCTAACCCATGTATACATGTGCTTTTGTGATGTGCTTTGATGTACCTGCATTCTAGGGTTTGGGCAATATGTTTTCAGTGTTACTTTCAAGGTAACTGTTAGGTTTGCAGTGGATCTGTTGTCTCAGGGTTATTATTTCCTTCCAGTGGTTATTTTCCCCTTAATCCATCTTCTTTATTGTTTGTGTAGTGCACTGAAAATATTCCTCCTCCTGTAAAAGTGTACTGCTATTTCTTCTGCAGGTAAAAACGCAACGCAAAATCGTGGTCTACACCAGAGATCAGTGTGTGCTGCTGTCCCAGCCCTGCTGCTGATGGGCGCTCTCGGGGCAGCAGTATTTCTTACTCCTCCAGGCCTTACATGTCCCAGAGAAGAGTAATGCATTATGAGTTTCCTATGCTTATCTAAGCATAAAAAAAAATATCTTTCAGGTGATACGAAGAAGTAGCGATGAGGAAAAGTTGCTGTGCTTGGTACGTCAGCGTGCAGGACACCACTGTCAAACCGCTGTCATCGTGATTCTCATACTGGCCTGGGAAGGGATCCCTCATCTCCTGGCTGATACGCTGTACAAAGAACTGACTCAGAGTCTCAGAAAATACGGCTGTCCCACCAGACGTAGATGTGCGTTGAACGAAGAGTAAGTTACTTTAATAGTAAATGATTGTTGTGTTCCCTTTTGAATGTTCTGCAGTACATAACCAGACAATTCAATAGTTCAACTAATAAAATAAGCATACAAAAGCTCATTTAAAACTACAAACCACTAGGTGTCATTTCAGTGTAAAACTTAGTTCCTGGCTTTTCCTAGAGACCAGGCTCTAAGCAATGCTCATACACACTACATCAGGGAAAGGGCTGTCAACGGACTCCTCTCCCGAGTTTGCGCATGCTGCCCAAAGACAGTCAGCATGCCCTTCCACACGTGGCTGTGCTAAGGAGCTGCTAGGAAGGTGATATGTGACTGCTTTTACATGAATGAGAGATTGAAAACTCAAAACTAGGATCTTCCTCTCCATGCCTCTGAGAAGAATTTAGTTTAACTGACTAGATGATATATTGCAACTGAGGCTCTGGGGCAGTGCTGGCTTTGTGCTGATTTTTGTGTAGCCCACATTTAACAGACTCTGATAGCTGTACAGTGACCAGAATCATTAGGTAGGAATAGACCTCTGAGATCATAAAGTCCAACTGTTGACCAAACACTACCATGCCCACTAAACAATATCCCGAAGTGCCACATCTACACGTTTTTTGAACACCTCAAGGGATGGTGACTCTACCACTTCCCTGAGCAGCCTCTTCCAGTGTTTGTCCACTTTCAGTAAAGAAATGTTTCCTAATGTCCAATCTAAACCTCCCCTGGTGCAACTTGAGGCTGTTTCCCCTTGTTCTATGGCTTGTTACCTGGGAGAAGAGACTGACTCCCACTCACCACAACCTCCTTTCAGGTAGCTGTACAGGACAATAAGGTCTCCCCTCAGCCTCCTCCAGACTCAACAACCCCAGTTCCCTCAGCTACTCCTCATAAGACCTGTTCTCCAGGCCCTTCACCAGCTCTGTTGCCCTTCTCTGGAGCTGCTCCAGCCCCTCGATGGCTTTGTAGTGAGGGGCCCAAAACTGCACACAGCATTCGCGGTGTGGCCTCACCAGTGCTGAGTACAGGGGCACGATCACCTCCCTACTCCTGCTGCCAACACTATTTCCGGTACAGCCCAGGATGCTGTTGGCCACCTGGGCACGCTGCTGGCTCATGTTCAGCCGGCTGTCGACCAGCACCCCCGGGTCCTTTTCCACCAGGCAGCTTTCCAGCCACTCATCCCCAAGCCTGTAGCGCTGTGTGGGGTTGTTGTGACCCACGTGCTGGACCTGGCACTTGGTCTTGTTGAACCTCACACAATTGGCCTCAGCCCATCAATCCAGCCTGTTCAGATCCCTCTGCAGAGCCTTCCTAATCTCAACCAGCCACCAGCTGGTTTTAACTCCATTCACCACCACTCTCTCTGCTCGGCTGTCCAGCCATTTTTTAACCCAGCTTACAGTGCACCTGTCTAGGCTATGCACCACCAGCTTTCTTAGGAGAACGCTGTGGGAGGCAGTGCCAAAGGCTTTACTAAAATCCAGGTTGATGACATCCACAGCTTTTCCCTCATTGACTAGGCGGGTCACATGTTCACAGAAGGAAATAAGGCTGGTTAAGCAGGACCTGAGTCCCTGCTTGTCCTGCACCTGCCATGTGAGCACCCTCAAGATAAACCACTCCATAATCTTCTCCAGCACTGAGGTCAGGTTGCCTCCTGGCCCGTCTTGTAGATGGATGTCACGCTGACAAGCCTCCAGTTGTCTGGGACCTCCACTGTTGTCCAGGACTTCTGATAAATGATGGAGAGTGGTTTGGCCAGCTCCTCCGCCAGCTCCCTCAGTACTCTCTGGTGGATCCCATCTGGCCCCATAGATTTGTGGATGTCCAGGTGGCAAAGCAGGTCTTCAACTGCTTCTTCCTGAATTACACGGGGTTTATTCTGCTCTTGAACCCTGTCTTCTGGGTCAGGGGGCTGATTACCTTGTGAATTGCTTGTCTGCCTATTAAAGGCCAAGGCAAAGAAGGCATTAAGTACCTCAGCCTTTTCCTCATCCTTGGTGACAGTGTTCCCCTCCGCATAACTCTTATGTTCTTAACAGCTGGGCTGAGTACAGTTGCTCCACTTTGAAAGTCAGATCAATTTGGAGCTAATGGTACTGCCGCACATAACAAAATAATTATTGGATTTGGGGGTAACCTTTAATAGTAGTGGTATTTTCTTGGATAAAGAAATTATCCAACTGGAGAAGTCAAAGTGAAAGCAACGTGTATATTTATATAGCTATAACTGAGTGTTATGCATTTCCCAGAAGTGGGACTTCAGGGAGCTGAGACTGTCTTTATAGGGAAAAAAGACAGTCCTCTGCAAGTGAATTTTCCTTAACAGAAAAGATCTGGTTAAACCATATGTGTTAGAAATTCCTATGTTGTTATGCTATGTATTATAAAAGAAGTAGCAAATAGCATTGACCTAAAAACCCAACAACAACAACCAAACCAACCAAACAAACGAAAAAAAAGAGCTGAGTTGACGTGTCTTTATTTCCTTTCGTAGTCGTACTTGTGCATGTCAAGGACTTGATCCAGAAACTTGTGGAGCATCATTCTCATTTGGCTGTTCATGGAGTATGTATTTCAATGGCTGTAAATTTGCCAGAAGCAAAAACCCCAGGAAGTTTAGGCTTCTCACTGATGACCCTAAACAAGTAAGATTTATTTTATTTATTTCATTATGGGTTTTTTTCCTCTAAATACTTTGATGATTTTCAGGAGTAGAAATTAATTCTATGGATATAGCCACCCCTCCTCTCTCACACATGTATGCATTGCTTATCACACAGGCACCCAACTAAATGTTTTGTACCTCTAGTATTTATAATTTTCCCACTGTACGAAAGCTCAGTGTTGTTTACTAGGTATTTAAATACCCTAAAATTATCTTTGAATGCTTCTCTGTGCAGATATTTAGCTCCACTGTATGAAACGTTAACTCTTTGTAAGTATAAAATACAGCTGCAGGTTTTTTGAAGTGCCAAGCCTGCACGTCAGAGATTCAGTCCTTTTACCTTGTCACAGAAAGATTTGTGCCTTGGGCTGCACTGCTTTCACGCTCTCTGACTGGCTGACAACCTGCTCTTCTATTTGCCACCTAGAACAAACCGGTTCTTCTGCCAACAGCCTGTTTTTTAAGCACACTTGAAGGAATGATGCAGTGAAACAATACTGCAGTTGCTGCTTGTGAGTGCTAGTGATGACATAGAGCTGAGATAGCACAGAAAATACAATGATGGATTATGTGAACCAACGAACCTCTAAAAAAAACCAACCCACAAACAAAAAAACAGATTTGTTTTTTACATTGGAAATATTTTCATGAAGAAGGAATAAAAATGTTGTAAACTGATAACTGCTGCCTGATGAATGTACATTCCTCAGGGTAATCCCAAAGTGCCTTTTGTTCTGACTGCAGATGTCTCTAACCTCACTTCCCTGTGGAACTCCTAGCTAAAGGTGTCATGCCTTTACTGGCACATCTGGCATGCTTTGAGAGACAGACGCTATAGGGCAGTCAGTTACCCAGTTCTCCATTTGGGTTACCGTGACGATAATCTTTCTTGCTCCTTAACTCTAGTGCTGGCAGCTACAGAAAAGACCTAGCTGGTTGAAGTCCAGACAGAAGGAGAGGTATTCTTGCATTTTTTGTGTACAGTGTACACATGCGTATGAACACACTACGTGAAAAATCAGTTGTTTCTGGAAGGGACAAACAGGTCTGTCTTTGATCAGAATATGCTGTACGAGACTGCAGGCTGTTGGTGGCATCACTTCCTCTGAGCTGTGAAATGGCCACCCTGAGCTCCATTCGGACACTTAGTCAGGCACAACGGCATTCACAGCAGCATCTAGAAATGGTACCCCACTCAGGAGAGCCATCTGGCATGGCCTGTTCGCTCAACAGGTAACCTGCAGGTTTTTGGAGGGGAACGCCTTCTACCGCAGGGTAAAAGCAGTTGCCCGAAAGCGAAGATTACTTAACCAGGTCATTTTCTAGATGTGTGATCTAAAAGTTCATTCCTTTCTTTCCCCTTTTCCACATTAAGTTGTTTTAAAGCCTCTTTGGATTCTGCAGCTGAGAGGGGATGCGGGTTGCACAGCACACGGGTGCTCCGTAGCCGTGTGTGCCTGCGAGGGAAGCACGTGCACCCCTAGGCTACCCCTGTGCAAAAGCCTCCAGCTGCAGGCCACAGTGGTGCTCGGGCAGTTGCAGTGTGTGTGCAGGTTGTCAGTGCATCTCAAAGAAGTGAAATTCCTGGTAAATAATTTTTCTTTTAATTTGGTTTTGTCATTAATTTTTCTAGCAGATACTTCTTTTAGCTAAATATTGGATATTGATGATTTTGCAGATGACATAAAGCTAGGATGTATAGCAAATTAAGAAGAAGATAGTTCGAAGTCCAGAGATATTTGGATCATTTCAGGCACTGGATGGAGTGAGATGAGGTTAAGGGTGTAGTATACCTAGGTAAGAATAGCACATAGGACAGATAATTAAGAATGCGTTACTTCAGTGCAGTTCAGAAAAGCCTGTGGTAACGATCAATTAGTTAATACGCTGGCTGTAGTATGAGTTAAAGTATGATATCATTTGGTGACTTAACACCGCATTGAAAAATGTGAAGTACGCTTATATGTTTATATACATTGGTGTTTACAATATATGGTGTTAAATGTTTTGGGTTTTTTTAAAAAACAAAATGAAATATGCTGTTATTTTTTGCCACTATACAGCGTGCAAAACTGAAGCTGCAGGTGTCTATGAAAGCCTGGCCCTTGGAGGAAAACAAAGTAGGGAGTATGTCACCACCCTTTTCTTTCCCAGTTCCTTGGTGATTTTCCTGGAAAAGTAAAAATTTAGGAAAAGAACTTGGGGGTTGTTTCTTTAAACAGCTTTAATGTTACACTGTCATAGAAGCCCACCTAGCTGGTTCCATGTTTGTATGGCTTACCCCAAGGAAAGGAATATTACTTCCTACTCCAGTAGATATTTCCATAAAGGCCTGAGTTTTGCACCTTCAAAGAACAAAATAGTTATCAAATGTTTCTAATAAGAGTTCTGGTGCAATGATAGAAATGTACCTCTTCCCCTAAGAGCTGGAATTAATGTTAAATGCTTTTGGGAGTCACTCATACGATTAAAAGAAAGAGACGACGGAAACCTAGGATTCTTTTAGCAGGGCTGTATTGGCGTAATTAAGGCCACATAAGCAAAACACTAAAAGAAGACCTGGGGTTCCACCTCCACTCAGCACGCAGTATAGTTTTTCTCTTCTGGATATTACTTCTCTATTTTGTGTGGAACACACCTCCTTCATTGACTTTCTTATGTATTGGAAGGGGGGAAGGATGCAGAAATTGGTTCCTTGTGTGTTGAGTGTCTTTGCCCTAGCAGATACCCTCTATTGTTATTTGGTTGACTTATATTTAACAATTTCAGTGTTTTACTCATGCAAAAGTAGGTTTATTTGTGATTGGTGACAAAAGGCAGCAAAACAGAAGTCAGATGAATAAAATAGAAGGCAGAGGTGGACTTTCTTAGCTTCACTGACTTGTCAGGCGTCTTTAAAACTGGATTAGATTCTTCTAAAGCAAACTGCAGCGCTCTGAATGTTGCCTTTCTCTACAGGAGGAACTTCTTGAAAATAATTTGCAAACTTTAGCTACTGACGTGGCTCCAGTTTATAAAAAGCTTGCTCCTGAAGCCTTCCAGAACCAGGTAGGTCTGTGACATTCAACTAGTAAACAGGCAGTATAATTGGAAAACAGGACGAAAACCCACAGTATGTTCATGGTTTGGAAGCCACAGACGTCACCAATGTGGTGAATCCCTGTGCTTACTTACAGAGATTGCTTCATTTGGCTGGTTTTCAAGCACTGCACCTTTTTTATTTCAACTGGTGGTTAAGTTGTGCCCTGAGCTGTGCACATGTAAAAGGCTTAGAGCTAATACTGTAAATAAAACTTTTTTATTATTTAAAGGCATTTTGACTCTGACCAAGTCGGTTATCTTGATGACATCCAGTCGTAAGTTTTGCATGTTTCACAGGAAAAGCCACGCTTTCCGATCCTTCTGACTGGCTGCATTTCAGTCACAGGTGCAGTTGTGGCTCACGGCGTTCCAAATTGCTCACTTTCAGCCCCAAGTACCTGTAGTTTATTTTGATTTTATAGGTGGAAAATGAGCACATGGGCCCAGACTGTCGGCTTGGATCCAAGGATGGTAGGCCTTTCTCGGGGGTAACAGCGTGCATAGATTTCTGTGCCCATGCCCATAAGGACACGCATAACATGCACAATGGAAGCACTGTGGTACGTACAGAGGATTTTCTCATTTGTATTGTTTACTGCTGTGACCACTGTGTACTTTAAAGTGTGGCTCAATTTAGTGGGTACGTTTGCATGCAGTTTTTTAAGGTGTTACGAAATCAACAGCGTGTTGCCAATTATAAATTCCCGTGTTATTTGTGTATATTTATTACTGGTTTATGGAGGACACAAGTTCATCTTATTACAGAACAGGTCAAGAAATACCCGAATTCTTTTACCATGCCCAGGCCCTTTGGGGAGGACAGATAAGCTATTCACAGTAGAGGCTTGATGTTCAAATGCAAACAGTTGTCTGACCTGTAGAGGAAGAGCTAATCCATACTGATGAATTATTACTTTACCTCCCCCAGGCTCAGTTCTCATCAAATGCCCTTTTTCTTGCACTGTGCACTTACCAGGCTTCATGTTGGTATAGTTACTAGTCAGAAAGTAGAGAGCATGATGCCATGGTGGAGTGAGGTGGCTCTTGTGATCTTCAAATCTCAGTATGAAAGGGAAACCCACACCATTTGGTGTGGTCATTGCACCAAATACCTTGCTAGATTGCTGGTGAGAAAATCAGTTGGGAATTACTCGATTAAGTGATCTTTTAGAAATTGAGAGCCTAGTCTTGGAAGAAAGACAAGCTCAAAGGAGAAAAGATAAAATAAAACTGGCCATCTGTTTTTTTAGTAGTTAGAGCGTTGCAGTGCTCTACATAGCTAGGACGCCTTCTTTTCCATCAGCCGAGGTAACACTCAAGAAAAACTCCTCTGTCAAAAGATGCATATCTGGAAAAAAAAATATCTAAAATCTCTGCCTACTCTAGAAATGGTGGGGTTTAGAATTTGAAACTGAAAGTTGAATTATTACGTTGCTGTGATTCAATAAAATGATGCATTTACACATACACTTAACATTTAGTGTTTGTATGTAACAGCAATGAAATGACTGGCACAATTGTTTAATATTAATTGTGTACTTGTGTGTTGGGCAAACGTCCATTGAGTATG